CGAGAAGATGGATTCTGGCTTAGCAATCATTGGAAGGATTTTATAAACCATTTCAGGTCTTAATTGATTGTTCACGCTTACGGTGGTTTTCAGACAGCATACATTAATTTTTCGTCTCCCCCCTCCTCTTTTCAGAACATAGATGGACTAGTCCTTCTAAATAAACTGCCAAATCGCTGCGCGTGGCGCTAACGTTTTTATAAGCATACAGCTTAGAAATAAATAAATAAATACAAACCGGCACTTCTTTCAAATGTTTCTTGCCGTTGGTTTTTCACACCTGATGATGACCGTTTGTGTTATGGTCGAAACGTCGTGGGAATTTTTATTGTTTTATAAATATTTTATTATTTTATTGTTTCCCTTCAACGTGACTTTACCGAAAGAGCTAAGAATATGAATAGTAAGCAGTTAAACACGTAGGCTTTTGCTAGTTGGAATTACTGGTGAAACGTCATACTCAGATTGTAAATGGTGGAGCTCGACTCTCCATCACACCAGCATGCTGTACTAGTGACGAATTGGCCACGTTCTGTTTACGTGACAAACCTTACTAGTTGGCTGTGTCGGGCGGTGGCGGGTTGAACGACACATTTATATATTTGCGCGATCTAACCCCAAAAAAATCTCTATTATGAATAGTAAGCAATCTGTTTACAAGGTTCAGTGAATGTTAGTGGGAACGTTATTTTAGCCTTTGTATCTTAAACGTGCGGTAATGTAGCAGGGCTCACCGAATTGTCCGGAGTACTCCTATGTCGGAATTTAAAAAATGAGACTAAAGAAACATGATTGATTTATTACCCTTTATTTTACCAGATGAGAGCCCATTGAGATTCATTATCTCTTTAGCAGGGGACAGTTATTAATTTTTTTTTATTTAATTGCGGGCAATTTTCAAATGTGGGATTTGCACGATGAAACTGACACGCAACGATAATCCCCGTTAGATAAATGATGGGATAATGAAGGCGTTGTAGACATTTCAGAAGTGTGGGGGGTTTCTGGCTCCAGTCAATTTTTATTTGAAACCCATTTGTTACATTCGTTAAACTAACACGCGGGTGCCACAATTAGTGCGGCGCCTTATGGAGGGAACCGTCGCCGGTCATCCCCGCAGCAGCGGCTTTTGGCTAACGTCGAACAAAGACGGTTGCCGCATCGTGTATGCGCTCTCTCAGATGCCCGTCTGGAACGCTCTGCCTTCTGATATGAGGAAGCCGCTGGAGCTATGTCACTTTTAAATCTACATTGAAAACTAATTTCTCTAGAATTGCTTTTTGCCTTTAGCTTTTTGCCCCCCCCCCCCCCGCCCGCACCTCCGATTATCACGGATATCTATGTACAGAGTGAAAAAAGTTCAACGTACGTACTCGGCGGCTCAGGTTGTCTGCGTGCTGATGCTTTGCCGTATCGTATTTATCGTCGCTTTGTCGTGGCTCAATACATTCGCGACGGTTCTGTCTTGTCAAACCCTTCCGTTATGAGGCCCCTTTTGCCTTACCCAAGCTTGCATTTAGTGTTGAAAATCGCCAGGAATATACGTACCTATGCAACTTGTACTTTTCTACTTTATTTATTTGTACAGTATTTGTTTTATCTATTTTTAGTGACTTGCGCATACCTCTTCTCTACTTTGCACTCCTGTTATTTTTTTGTATCGTTTGTTGTAACTTGCTGACCCACCCCGACTGTACATCTGTCAAAAAGAGCTTCAGAGCCTTCTCGGATTCCTCCTCCAGTCTTGAGATTCTGATTCTGAACCACAAATGAGTGGCGATTTGCATGGTGATGGTGGTGGTGGCGGCGATGATAACTTTTTGGGGAAGCACGTGGCATGAGCCGTACCGTATTTTATCTCTGTGTACTACTGTGCCGCGATCCGGTGACACCAGAAATAACCCCACCCACCCCACCCACCCGCTTCTCTGGCGATAACAAAAAGTTAGTTGATCAAATGCGGCCGTGTAGTAACACGGGTAATTTTTAATCGCGAAAGCTACGCGAGTATATGATAATGACACGGTGAAAGATGGAGTGCCACTTTCACCCAAGGTGCAGGCTGTGATTCAATCTATTGCAGATTTGTTGTTTTTACTCTGGTAACGTAACGAAAATGTAAACATCTGTCAGCTAACGCCTATTCGGATGTTGAAAGAGACACTTGGGCGTTATCGTAAAATACTCTAATTTTATAATTTCACTTTCATTGTCTTTTTCTTGCTCGGCACCTCACGAATTATATAGTCGAAGGTGACTTGCTCTCGGGATGGTCTCGTAACAATAAATACGTCTTTATTAACCAATAAACCTTTCAGTCTCTCCCAACTGTCAAAGCGTGTGCTTATTTAACTCCACCGCCTGTTGATGGCACTTGCACCTTTTTTTTTCCTACGCTGACAACACGGGTTTTCATGGGTAGTCAGTGCAATGCAATACAAATATAAATTTACAGACGTTTTGTCAATCCACTGCTGGATGAAGGCCTCCCCGCACTGTGTCTTAACACGGGGCGGGGGGCGGTTGTTTTACCATACTTCACCGGCACTGGTTAACTGCGGTTTGGTGAAGGTAGGGCTTCACCGCCAGTTCAGACATCGCTCGCCACCGCTCTTAGCCGTGGCTCGGTGTTGAACTGCAGTCGCTGGGCACGTAGCACAATGCGCTTGCTTCTTGCAGCACTGGCTCCATCACAAACCCGGCAAAGGTGCAACCCTGCAATTTGCTTGGGAAGACCACTGCTGGGCTCCACCAGTGGGAGCTCTCAGCCCTCTAGAGGGTCATTTGCCCAACTCTTCTACTCTGGCCAGATGCCAGTACCGTCGCGTATAACATGTTGATACGTGCAAGTCGTCATATTGCATATTTGAACGCCTCGTACATGCATCAGTGACGATTGAGATTTGGAGAAATTATGCATGAATTGTATTTCATGGATACTTACAGCCCCCAATATATTATTGGTTCTTTCGGTAAAGTCACGTAGAAGGGAAACAATAAAATAATAAAAATATTAATCAATAACATTCTCACGACGTTTCGACTACAACACAAGCAATCATCATCAGATGTGAAAACCACACCTGTTTAATTGTTTTTAGCGGAATACATAAAATGAACACATTCATTTACATTGCAGTGTGCGATTTCAATGTAGCGGTTAAAATTAACCACTAGGCTCGCATGGTTCTTTAGTTCTGTATTTATTTATGGTAACACTTTGCCTGTGACTGACATGTGTAACGTGCAGTATATTGCACGAATACAAAGATCCCCCGTATAGCCTTAACAAACTTGTCCGGCAAGTGTTGTCAGCGAGCAACCGGCATTAGCTGATAAGTGGCGGTAACGTCGCCACGGTGCCTGTGCCAGGCTGTGTGCACTTTAAGATCACGTCAAGTGTCGAACGCCTGCTGGCAGGAGGTCAGGGGACAGGCCCAGGTGCCATAGGTTGACTGACTGAGGGGACTTGCAGATGCACCACCTGTGCCCCCTACTGTGCTAGCTTGCTGTGTTTTAACCGCCCGGCTCTCCGCTCGTTGTTGTGAGCGTCACTCCTCTGCCCTCTGTTGCTGCTTGAGGGCGACTGCCTCCAACTGCCCAGTTAGCCTCGTTCACTATACAGTAGTATATTACACACACACACACGCATGTGCATAATTCAATCGTATGCACGTATCGCAGGTTCCATAACCACGAATGCGTGCACATGCGTACTCTGACACAGAGTACGTCTTGTTACTCTTGGGCACGGCCTGCATATATTTTTCTACGAAAAAACCCTTTATCGGGAATTAATGTGTGAAATATTTATTTTTTCTCTCTCTTTGTACCTCGAGCTGTATTTTGCAAATCACTGAAAGTGCACTCTGTGCAGCCCAACCAATTTGCGAGTCGGGTGGCGTGCTCTGAAATATCGCGCAACGGCGACGCTCGAAAATAAATGGCGGGGCGTGCGCTGCAATTCCCCGAAAAAGCGTTCACACATCGAAACGCGGTAAAAATAAACGAGTCGCCGGGCAGGGAAGGTTAATGGAGGGTCCTCTACGCTTCCGATGTGATTATGGCGAAGAATTCTCGCGGCTGTTCGCCGGTAGTCGCTTGCCGGTAAGTGGTCGGTAAGAAAAGGACGGCGGAAATGGGCGGTTGGGCGGTAAAAATGGGGACTCAATCCCGTTGGAAATGCAATTTGTCTGCAGCGGATTGTTTGCAGGCTGCGCGCGCGGGCACATCCCTAGCGAGGTGGGGTGGGGGGTGGGGGTGGAACTGCTGCAAATTGATTTTGTGGCAGAGTAATTTTGACAGCTCACGTCCCACGTAGTTTTCAGCCCGGCCTTTTAGTGACGCGAGATGCCGTCTCGCAAGGTGCGAGACACCTTGCGACGGGCGGTGAAGGTTGGGGGGGGGGGGGCGGGTGTTGATTAATTTTGAGAGTCAACGGGTTGGAGGCTGCGGGGGGGGGGGGGGGGGGTGGTGAGACCAAAGGGATTATGGGAATGGATTAGCTACTGGTGGTCAGAGTAGCACTGGGCCAATGTGAAAGACCACTTGGGGGAGGCCCCCCCCCCCTACCCCCTGATTCTCGGGATTCCGAGTGCTGTCATAACCCTCTCTGATGGAAGTGCGCCGCGCGGTTTGACGGAAACTGCGCCGAACGCTCACGGTAATAAGCCACGCGCTCGCATTCGGCGGTTGCTTGGGTGCCTGTCCGCGGATTACGTTTCTTGTTATCGAGGAGGATTGCTGCCGGGGCTGGGTTTTCTCCTTCAAGGTTAACCCAGCCGCGATGGCGCTTGCCAGAGAGTTGCGCGAGCGACGCTGCCGCGTGCATCGCGTTGAGCCGTCGTGACGTCTCGTTTTATTCCCCTGTCGACCGCGATGACGCGAGTCCATAATACGCCGCCATGCAGCATTTAATACTCGCACTGAATTGATGCCTTTCTCCGGTGCAATGCAACTTCATTTTTGCTTTGTCTCCTCTTGCCGCCCTCTGTGTTCAGGAGCCATCAGCTGTCACGTGGTGCACAGCTGCTACCTGCTGCCGGTAAGTTGGTGGTGCCCCCGAATGTTTTGTCGGGTGAAGAGAAGTGTGTGCGGCACTTGGTTTTGGATTGAAGCTTGCGCGTTTGTACCATTGTCGTCCTTCCACGTTTTTTTTTTGTTGTCTCTTGGCATTGCATCAGAAACAAGAAGTAGATGACAGTGCTCAGTTCACATGCTCTCAGTCAAGGCATGACGTCTGCTTCGGTGAGAGGGAGTGAAATGAAATACCTACATTTATTTCACCGAGAGCCAATCGCCTTCCCAGATGCTCATTGATAAATTGTTCATGACAGTCTCGTGGTGTTTCAGTGCAGAGAAGGCTTCTTTTGACAGTTTGTAAAGGGCTGCAGAGTATCTGTGGAGCTTAATGATCGAATACGACTTGTCGTGCGCGACACATGGATATTCCATACGATTGACATGATGCATAACATTGATGTACAAGCCATTGTAAAATGTGGTTATCTTATTAATAAAGTATCAAAATGCTGTCGATCAAATGTCGAAATACATGACGCAATCATTCCGTTGACGACTTTGTGATTGCAAAATCATTGGAGGCTACAGAATTTTTTGGTGAAAGCTTTGATAAGCGTTGCCAGTGTATTGAATGCTACAACTCCATCCCTCACCTACCCGATTATCCCTACGCTCTGTCCCACTGTGGTCCAATTCCTGCACTGGAGTGACTTTAAATCCCAAAATACATTAGTCGGAGCCCAAAGCCCATTCGGTCATATTTTATTGCTCGTCATTTTTCTTCTTCATCTGGCTGCCCCCTGCGCGTTGCCGCATGCAGCAATATGAGGTAATATTTATGGCCGTTGTTTGGTGTTTGACCAAGTCGCGCCTGTGCCAATCTGGGTATCTTATTCACAGCCTCTGTGCATAGCAGCAATATCCCGAGTGAAGCAACGCATGTACGCTGCACAATTGAAATCCTTGCCGACAGAGCAACGTAGGTATTACCCTGGTCTCTGGATTATATTGGTATCCACCCCCCACCCCCTGTATTTTTAAGCAAAAGTTGGGGTGCATGTGTTATAATTCGCTAATTGCATTTGTGCCCAGATTGATTTGTATAACTTTATGGACATCGGTACACTTACTCAATAGAGATTACACAAGTATAGAGGTGCGTCTTACTTTATGGGGCATCTTATAATCCAGGAAATAGTCATACTTCTTAATGGGCCTCGTGACTATTCGTCCTCCACATCCCCCAATGCTTGCGATTCAAAAAATGATAACGAGTTGCGATTTTATTAAAGAGTCCGCCCAGTAAACATGCCAATATTGGATCGGTTGGAAATGCTGTTGGTCCATCGTTCGATGATTACTGGGCATTCTCATTTTTATTTCCCGGAGAATTGCAGCGCATCCGGTCGAATCGCGTGAACGAATCGCGCCCGGAATGCATTGGGTAACGCCTCACTTGCCGGAGCGTTTTACAATCCAGAGGAGCAGAGCCGTCCCTCGGGTGTACGGCGAATAGGGGCGACTGCCCCGGGCCCCGCGCTTTGGGGGGGAGGGGGGGCACGTAATTCGACGTCACGACGTCGGATGGAATTACTTACGCTTTAGTTTAAAGGCATCGGGGGAGGGGGGGGGGTCGCCAACAGTGTGGTTTTCCCCGGGTCCTTCACCCCCCGCCCCCCTATGGAGGGCCCTGATCCAGAGAATACGTTTCTTCTTAAAGTACGAAGAGAGCCCCTGATAGGTTTAGATTTCTGCACAAAAAACGAAAGTGAACAAAACAAACACAATGCATCGCTTCAAGCATCTTTTTTTTATTTTTGCCGTCAACTTTTTCCACCTGCTTGCTGACGGCGGCTGCAGTGTGTGGTGGGGAAGCGTGTGGGACGGGTCCGGTGTGTTCCCCGATCGCTCGACAAAAGGGTGCGCGTGTGCGCGTGTGCACGAACACGCAACAGTCGTTGCCGCCGTAGATTAATACAATCGGCCGTAGCGAGGCTGATGGGTGCTTGGCGGCGGCTTTGGCGATTGCCGGTGCGAAGTTGGCAGCGTGCGACGGCAACGTTTGGTGGCGGTTGTTGCCCCCCGCAAACAATCGCTTCACGCGTCAGCGTTTGGCACCTCGCGGAATCAAATCTCGTGTGGCTTCCCAATCGTACGGAAGCGAATGCGCGTGCACAACAAACACGGACGTAAGTAATGTGTCCACGTTTTAATGAGTCTGCTACCAAGCAGTATAAATGGGTTACACCACCGCAGTCAGTCAATCGGCAGGTTGCGTTTGGTGGTGGGGTAGAGTGTGGGTACTCCCAGCTCTTCTGAGACGTTTGGCCAGTGTGGGAGAGTAGACAGAAAGCCTGCTCGAGGGGGGGCCCCCTCTAGAGCTGCCTCGAGCCGAGGCCCCAGCAGTGGTGCGAGTGAGCAGATGGTATGAGCGCAGTTTAATCTGTGGTCTCGTTGCATATTAACTCCTGACAACGTGTACATTTTTTGTTGTCAAGAAATTCAAAAGTTCCTCAGAATTTCTCCCACTATCCCGCTCCCCCCCCACCCCCACCCCACCCTCCTGCAAATGCGTCAGTGCAGAACGCTCGTTTCAGGAGCAGATAAAGGTAGCCCTGAATTGCTGCCTGGGCCAGGCATCCTGCTAAGTGGAGGTTACGTTTCAATTTGTTGAGCTGTAAACGGCGGTTGCCTGAGAATTTTGACCTTTGAGCGGCCACATTCGTCAAACGTGGAGCGATAAGTGACGTGGCCGTGCAGCGGCTGGGTGGTCCTGCCTTGCCGGCGCTGCTCCGCCCCGGCAAGTCCGCACGCTGTAGCAGGCGCAGGTTCACACTTTCCGCGTCGCACCCCACGAAGAGCCTCGGCTAAGGCTCCCCCCTGCGTTGTAAACGGTACGCTTTCACAACGACGTCGTCGTCGTTGGCCCACCGTCAGTCTGCTTCTGCGATGCGGTGTTGCGCCCCAGCGCCTGCACACGGAACCCATTTATTCGCTCCATCTCTCCTCGGCGGACGTGCTTTCTCTCGTGCCGTTCCGTACCTCGGCTGCCGCTCCGCCATTATCCTTAACCATAGTTATTGTTTCTTGCCGCAGATGAAAGCGCAATACCTCGTTGATCTCGTCGAGGAGCGTAAACCGTCGTTGCGCGAACCCCGGTCACCCTCGCGGCCGCAGCTCTTGGTGGCTGGCCATCGAACGAAAGGGACGGGGTCACCGCATCGCGCGGTTTCAGACGCGCTTCTGCGGCCGTCTGGAACGAATCTTCCTTCCGATAGTAGGAAGCCACTGGAGCCGTTCACTTTTAAATCTCGACTGAAAACTTAATTTCTTCAGAACTGCTTTTTGCTTTTAGTTTGTTGTCCTTCCCCCGCACCTCCGATGAGCACGGTTGGCTGCGTACGGTGCGAAAGAATTTCAACTTATGTACATGCATTGTCCCCATCTCGCCATGATGCATCCTGCCCAATCTTGCGTGCTGTTGTTAATAGTTTGAATGATGTTATTAACCTGTGTGTGTGTTCACTAATCCACGAGTTCCTCTGTCTTTCAGTGTGAATTCCAGGCGTGCATCTCTCCATGCTTCTTTGCACAATTTTTACTTTTTGTTCTGTATTTTTCCTTTACGGCCGTGTTTCTGAACTGTACGTAAGATTATGCAGTTAAAATATATATTTTTGTTTAAAATGTGCACGTAGGCTCATGAGAAGGTCAATATTTATGATTGTAATTATTAAAATAAAAAAGTAATGTTTATTTTTGGACATAATATTTTATAAGACGTGTAAAAGTCATACTAATTTTCAGCCCTTATTTAAATCATTGGTGTGTGAACATCTGTCCAGGACATATCGGTTATGGGAGCTGTTTGTCCATACTTCACCACACTGGTCATCACGGGTTGGTGACTCACTGCTAAGGTTACAGCGATATCGTTTTACGACATCAGATTTCGGGGATGTGACTGAGCACGATATTAGCTTCCCCCAACGTTGTGATGATATTTAGCTTTTTTTTGTCGCTTTTGATCTTTTCTGTGCTTCTAGTACGAATAGAGATCACAAAAAAATATTTTAACTGCTGTTCAATCAAAATGAGTCGTCCATAAGTTTTTTATTTAGTCTTTGCAACTTTACGATCTGCACCGGTTGCAAAGCGCAACACGTTCCCTTGCGGGTTATGGGACATTGCCCACGCCGGCCGTTGCAGAAGTGGGTTGTGAAGTCCTTTCGACGTTGCCCGCAAATGGCAGGGAGCTTGTATATCGCGATGTCATGGACCAAAGTGGACACTTGAAAACGGTCTGAAACGACATTTAAAAAAAAACAAATTGCTGTTGCATTCCAAATACGACGATCATGCTTCAGTTCCCGCTCTCGGCCAACATCGGTGACGAACGTCTGAACCTCATTTCATGAGTTGGTGTCTCAAAGGCTCTTTGACAGTGGGGGAGGCCCAAATACAGCAGTATACAAGTTGTGTTTCACTAAACAGGCACTGCAGTCGTTAGCGAGAAAGCTTCTTTAAATATCAATGAACGAACATGCAAATAAGACGATAACGAAAACTAAATTAGTCTCTTAAATCTTAGCGAAATCTATAGTAGGAGACGCGCGAGTGACACATCTAGGCAGCTCTTGTAAGTAATAATAGTCATTTACAGCTCTTTGTCAATCTATCGATGGATGAAAGCCTCCCATTGCCATGTCGGTCATGGGGAGTTGTTTGACCACACTTCACCATTCGTGAAGGGAGGAGGAGGGGGGCCTGGGACCCCGTAAGATTTTACTCGCCACCGATGTTATCTGTACCCACGAATTGAGCTCGGGTGGCTCTTTTCAAGCCGAGTGCGCTAACCGCTGCGACACTGCATCGCCCCGCTCGTAAGTAAAGTAATTCGTGATTCAACAACAAAGCAGTGTCATCTGATTCACCCTTCCCGCCTTGGACCGGGGCCCGCCCCCGCCCCCCCCGCCCCCCCCTTTCCGTGCCGTCAAAATAAAACAAACAGACGGATCCTGA